GCCAACCCATCTCTCTCTCTCTCATATCAAAACTCTGTTTGATGATATGTTTTTAGATGTTGGTGGGTATGCCAAGGTCAACCTCATAATGCGCATCTTAGCTGCCTTCTTTGTTGGGCTCGTGGCTGCCGCCGCTGCAGCCGCCACCAGTAGCTATCGCCGGAAAAAGTCGTCCAAGGAGTTGAGAGCCCCAAACAACATCTTCCCGCGGATAGACAGGACAGAATCCGGCCGTGTCGGAAACATCGAGAGATTCTCCCATTATGTTGGTAATGTTATATCATGTAGGAAAAACCTTAGGTAGCTTATTGGATTTTACTCACAATTTTATCTATTTTTTTTTGGTAATTATTGTCATTAACACACAATTGTTTCTAAAAATACATTTAATTAATTAATTTTAAAAAAAAATTTGTTTGTGCAGCTAGGCAACTGGGAATTATAGATGCAAATGAGTGTCCCCAGCTATGCAAGTTAGCTTATAATTACTTGAGAAAATCCAAAGGGTGTGAAGATAGCATCTATGCATATCTGGCTTCAGAACCAGATGCAGATTCTCTCTGCATAAGTTTAATCCAAGAATTTGATAGATGCATCCTCACTTATTTTGCATTTCATTGGAGTCAAGCTACTCTTATGATATCTCAGGTAAATATTTTTGTGTTCTTAGCAGTGCTTGATGACAAAAAGTCCAACCAGAAAATTAATATATAAATAAACAAGCATTTGGGTTTCTTTTCTTTTCTATTTTACTATTTATTCACCTTCTTTTTATATTCATTTTCTTCATCTATCAACTTCTCCATTGGCTAACTTGCAGGTTTTGAATGTAGAGACAGAGAAGAAAACGAAGCTCAAAGACCTAGTAATGACAGCTACCAGGTTATTTTCTCTTACATTTATTTCCTTTACTTATAGCACATAAATATATTTTCCTTTTTTCAAATAAAATTATTCCGACTATTCGTCTTGATAAAAGAAAAGTACCAAAAATATATTAAATTGAGCAAAATTTATCCCAACTAATTAAGTCGTTAATGTGTTAGACTTGTTAGCCGCCACTAGGATTTCACTGAACCTTTGCCTTTGCTCCACTAGCCCTTCTCTATTAACAAGGAATGGACCATGTATATTTCAACTGTAGAATTATGACTTGTATTGAGCCACTTACTTACGCTAACAACATCAACAAATGTTTTTTGTACCCTCTGTTTTCAATAATCCAATATCGAATTGCTCTTAGGAAAAATCAAAATTAAGAAAGAAAAAAAGGCAAAACCCAGGCTCTGCCTTGGTCCTCTCGGAGTGGACCTCGAAATGATGCCAGGAAAGTCGCCTACTTTGGAAAAACAAATCATTTTTAGCCTATCTTTTAAAGAATTTGGTACTTACAACGACAAGTGTACCTTTCATCTCTACTTTATTAAAGAAGTAAAGTAAGCACAACTTTTATAAGCCAATAACGAATGGATAAGTCTCTCGTCTTTGAGATGCGTTAGTGACTTCACCAACTTTGTTTTTAATAGTTTGCGTATTTATCCCTTACACTTCAGTTCTTTTGTTTGAATTCTCCGCTCTCATTTTTTTTGTTTTCATGTACTATTCATTGTGGTCAGAAAATCAATACACAAAAGATATGTAGACCCTCCCTATCTACCAAAATATCACAACAAACGCATCTGGGAATATCTTAGCAATGGCGTGGTGATTATGAATTTTCCTTTTAGAAATACTACACACACATCAATTCCCATCCATTGATAGAGTGGATGGACACCTACAAAAGTCATACATGATTTTATAATTTCTTCGCAAAATTCAGGTCACATGAGAGAGTTGAGATAACTGTTATTTTTTTCGTCAAAACAAGAGTTGTGTTGAAAGAATACAAGCATATGGAAGGAACTCAAACCATTAACCTAGCTTATAATTCTTACATATATCTTCCCACCAATTGAGCTAAACCCTACGGGTTTCAGCACATACCAAATTAACTTGTCGTAGAAGTGTGTGTGTATGTGTAACATTTTAGAAAGGGAGAAAGAATATTTTGCATGTGTTAGGAGAATATTAGAAATTACTGAGACTGTTTTATATAATTCGTGCCTAAATCTTTGGGACTGTATTTGACTTTGGTTTGATAGGAAGCAGAGATTTGAGAGGATCAGCAAGGAACTAAAAGTGACAAGGGTGTTCTCTACGTTGTTGGAGGAATTGAAAGCGATAAAGGCAGAATCACAATGTACAGACGTGATGGTACCGGTGGCCCATAGTGAGAGGAGCCCCGTGCTTCTACTTATGGGTGGTGGGATGGGCGCTGGCAAGAGCACTGTGCTCAAAGAAATTGTCAAAGAGTAATTTTATCAAACACTTGGGGGTCATATTATTTATTGATGATGTAGTAGTTAATGATATTGATGGAGTGTACTAATTAGTCGGGCGTATACATGCAGGCCATTCTGGTCAGGAGCAGCAGCAAAGGCTGTGGTTGTGGAGGCAGATGCTTTCAAAGAGACAGATGTGATTTATAGAGCCCTCAGCTCTAGAGGTCACCACACTGACATGCTCCAAACTGCTGAATTGGTAAATCTCTCTCATGTCATCTCAGAGATTCATTATAAGATTAACATGTATCAACAATCATTCACTACGGCTATATTATAATACATCTGTTACATGGGAAGTGAACAAAATTTCTCATTTTTGGCCAAAAATATGAAGACATCTTATGCTATATAAGTATGTGTTACCTTTTGCTTCACACACAAAGAGATGATATGAGAAAATATGAAATATTGTACAAGAGTAATGTTAAGGGGATCAAAATTTCGAGTGAACAAAATTTCTCATTTTTGGCCAAAAATATGAAGACATCTTATGCTATATAAGTATGTGTTACCTTTTGCTTCACACTCAAGAGATGATATGAGAAAATATGAAATATTGTACAAGAGTAATGTTAAGGGGATCAAAATTTCTGAGTACATAAATTCGTCGAACAATGTAACAGTTGATGTATTAATTAACAATTGATCATGTTACTTAATGAATTACATACATCACAAGGACTAGCTATTAATTTAGTGATATTTCTCCTTATTTGCAGCATCCCATTATAGAAGTCAAGTTATCTGATTTTATGAAATGACTGATTAACCAACACAGGTGCACCAATCATCCACCGATGCTGCATCATCGCTCCTAGTGACTGCACTCAACGAAGGACGGGATGTGATCATGGATGGCACCCTGTCGTGGGTGCCCTTTGTTGAGCAGACAATTGACATGGCCCGGCACGTTCACAAATGCCGGTACCGGATGGGAGTTGGGTACAAGGTGGCTGAGGATGGCACCATTACTGAAAACTATTGGGAACGAGTGGGTGAAGAAGAGGATCTTCATGACCAGCAGAAGATTAATAGTGGACAGGAACCCAAGAGAAAACCATACAGAATTGAGTTAGTTGGAGTTGTTTGTGATGCTTATTTAGCTGTTGTTAGAGGCATCAGAAGAGCTATAATGGTTAGGAGGGCAGTGAGGGTGAATTCACAGTTGCAATCCCACAAGAGATTTGCTAGCGCTTTTTACGGATATTGCCAGCTTGTTGATAATGCCAGGCTCTACTGCACCAATTCTATGACTGGCCCTCCTATGGTAAGTCTCGTAACTCCTAACTTATCGAGACTACATTTTTATACCACATTTGTCTCATTACATGACGTGAGACTTGATGCGTTAATTACAGTTGATTATTTTTTATGTTAGTACACGTTAATTGTCACACCCTGTGATCAGCTAGCTAGCTAACGTGAGCTAATCGCGCATATGCATAGCATGAAATTTACTGACTAGGATTTGTGTGTAAATATGCAGCTGATAGGATGGAAGGATGGAGTCAACAGGCTACTGGTGGATATTGAAGAAATCAAATGCTTGGCAAACTTAAGCAGTTTGAACTCTGATGCAGAATCCATATACGAGCTTTATATGCAGAACCCAAGCCTTATACTAGAGCCTGGTTCTTGTTGGAAAGACTTTGTTTTGTCCCCTTCAAGGCCAAGCCTTCAGCAGAAGCTAAGAGCTATCATTCAAAAAATTGAAATTTCAAAGATGCGAACAAATGAGGTTAACAGTGTTTAGTATAATTGATCCATATTTGTGTGTTTGTTTGAAATTCTGTAAATGGGAAATTTAAGAATGCATTGGACTTTTATACACATTTCTGTGACAGGTTTGTTAAAAGAAAAGAAAACGGAAGAAAATAATTCAATAACACTAACAAAACCACACCGTACATAAAAAGGAACAAAACAAAATCAAACCACGCAAATGAAATAAAGTGCTACTTTGTAACACATGCAAAAAAGAAAGAGTGATGGTAAGAAGATGATCACATTTCTATCCAGTGGGGAAAAAAGATCGACCAATATATATTTGAGATAAACACGGTTTATCATGTAAGAAACTACTAAGAGTATGAATCCCACATTAGAGAATTGAAGTCTTGCTTAATACTATAAAACATCTTCGACCTTTTCACTCATTCCCAATTCGTTTTGAATTGGATGCTCACATTATATTATGGTACAAGAGCAAACTACCAATGTAACCTGCCCCAACTTAGTTATTGTTTAGAAATACCAAATTATTCGAGCATTATACAAATATGTACATTTTTTTTCACGAATAATACATACGTATTTTTGCATATTGGGCAATAACAAACGTACTATCCAAGTGTTTAATTCATATATTTCACGTACGATTGAAAAAATTATTTAAATAACATAAAATTATTATATAACAGCCGAATCTTTTTAGAAAATTTCCAAATAAATTCACTTGAGGGGAACAACACTCCAATTGACCCACACCCAAAAAAAACAAAAAAAACTCAAAGGATTTGATTTAATTAGAGCCCAGTTCCTTGCCCCATGATCAGCCCAATAACCGAGCCCAATTTAAATCTCGTTTTAGGGCTACTCATAGCCAGAGCACCACCACCCAATCGATAGATATAAATTCAGCTAGCAAACCCTCTTGCTTCTCGAAAACCCTAGCGGCCACAGATCCTAAGGCTTTTGAGCTTTTCTCCCACCTAGTGTTTCCGTTTCCGAAAGCTCCACAACCATGGTAAAGCTCCAACTCCTCACTCTCTCTGAATCGCATCATTTCACTCCTAATTTCTCTCTGTTAACTCTCTGCATGTTATCTGGGTTTTCAGGCGGACGTTGAGACCGATGTGGCGGCAGCTGGAGTTCCCAAGAAGAGGACGTTCAAGAAGTTCAGCTTCAGAGGTGTCGATTTGGATGCTCTTCTCGACATGTCGACTGATGAGCTTGTCAAGCTCTTCCCTGCCAGAGCTCGCAGAAGGTAAAGTATTTTGCTCGATAAAATCTGTTTTTGTGCTTTGTTGGTGGTTTTGTGAATTGGGTTTGAGTTCGTTGGTTTGGATTTGGTGTGATGAGTAGGTTTCAGAGGGGTCTCAAGCGCAAGCCCATGGCTTTGATCAAGAAGCTGCGCAAAGCGGTAATTTTCCTCAAGCTATTAGTTGAAAATGTTACATGTTTTGTGTTTGGATCTTGTATTTAGTTGGGTTATGTGATTTTTAATGATTGATGTGTTATTGTGAATGAGATGTGTTTGTTATTTTCGCCTTTTCAATTTTTTTTCTTCCAAGTAATCAGTTGAAATTCATATTTTGTATTCAAAGTTGTGATTGATTAGCCGCTAATGGTTTTGATGCATTATAGTTGATGGTAATGTCTGTCCTGAAGTTGCCTCCCATGCTCAAGCATATGTGCATTGCATCATTTTCTATCAAAATTGATTTTTCTTAGTGCAAATCATTTGTGTTATGAAAGTATAAACCTTCCATATATGCTTGGTTTCATTTTGATTATTAAATATGATATTGTGTTGGTTTGCCCTCCCATTCTTCTTATTACGTTCATATAAGCTTTCTGCTGAATTGTATGCTCACTGTAGAAATAAATTGTATGCTCAATGTGGTAGTTTTAAGGGCCTTAAAAGTCATAGTAGGAATGTGAAAGGGCAGGGCAGTATGTAAGTTGTGATTTGTTAGAACCTGCTGTTTAAAAAATTGCAATGGATCTACCGAAAACCAATTGAACTAATTTTTTAGTTAAATTTACTTTAGAAAATTCATTGTTCTCCCATCGTTGAATTTACATTGAGCTATTTTTCGACTGATGGATTGATAACTTTTATGCACTTGTTGGTAGTGGAACTTGTATTTGTGTATAAATAGGAATTTCACTTGAATGCCAGTGTTGGTAGTTATCTGGATTAATGGCTTGTGACAGATGAGCATTGATGTTGTAAAATACTTTTTTGGTGTCAGAATCAAGTATTTTTGTTCCTTGTTCCTCCTGAGTCTTCTTGCCGGTGGTTGTATTGTATGCATCTATGGCTGACAAAAGTGTGTTGCTAATCATGAGTTTTTTTGTTGCTTGGAACAGAAAAGGGAGGCTCCACCCGGTGAAAAGCCAGAACCAGTCCGCACTCATCTTCGTAACATGATTATAGTGCCAGAAATGATTGGAAGCATTATTGGTGTGTACAATGGTAAGACCTTCAATCAGGTTGAAATCAAGCCTGAAATGATTAGTCACTACCTCGCAGAGTTCTCAATCTCATACAAGCCTGTCAAGCACGGTAGGCCTGGTATTGGTGCCACCCACTCTTCGAGGTTCATTCCTCTTAAGTGAGATCCTTTCCTGCTGTCTAGATATCTAATCGTGTTGTTTCTGAAGACTTTGATGCTGATCACATTTTTGCTCATTACTATTTCAGTTTTGTTTATGTTTCGACTTGTGTTGTTTACTCTTTAGATGGAAGTTAAATTTACAGTTGGGGTTTCAGACGAATGATCGTAATTTTCTATTTAATGTATGAGAACTTGAATTTAAATCTGTGTTTCGTTAGTCACACTCACAACTTATATTACATTACATGACATGATGTGTCAATTAGAGGCATCAAATCAATGAACTTGGCCCATGAGACGACGACCTCTTTTAACAATGAACTTCGCCTCTGAATGAAGGCATTAGGATTCAAACCAACAAGCGGGGTTTTGTTATTTAACCTTCCCAAACCATGATATTAATTGAGGAGTGCTGATATTTTCACCCACTTGTCCTATATTTGTTCCCACCTTCTCTTTTCACCCACAATATAAATTTTAAAAAATACAATCTTATTTTTCAACCCACCATTATTCCTAAAATACCGTGCCCTATTTCAGTGTTTTCTGAATACACGGAATACATCCCAGCTACACCAACTCTCTCTTGACAACTGAGAAAACCACCATGAACAACACCCATCTCCTCTGACTCAAAAAATTAGGACCAACTCCGATCAAAACCAATGCGAACTCTTTTCACTTTCTCTTTCCACATCATCACAATTCTTTGGTGGAATAGCAGATTTGACATGCAAATTGAGAACTTTTTATCCCTCTATTTCATCGCTTTGTTTTTACCTCTCTGAAATTTCTTCTGTCTTCAGCCTTCATAGAGACCACAATCCTTGCCGAAAAAGACCAAAAAATTTATCAGAGAATTGAGAGGCACTATAGATCTAGAGATTGCGACCAACAAAACTCACTACCAAATTAGGCGGTGCAAGTTGGATATCACTGTGCAGCTTTGATAATGATAAAAACACAGGCTTTCTGTTCCATTTGCTCCGTTATTGTTTTCGATCGATGGAGAGAAGATGAACATTGAGAGTGATTTTTTTAATTTTTTTTAATTTTTAATAATACTTTACAGAGGATCCCACATGTTTTGATTGACAGGGGTTGAAGGTTTGAAGCATGCTTTGAATGGAAGTAAGGAGAATTTGCTTGAATTAATAATTAAAGGGTATTTTAGGAATAATGGTGGGTGTAAAAATAGGATTATGTTTTTTCAAATTTACATAGTGGGTGGGAAGATAAGGTGGGTGGGGAAATAGGACTGGGGGGTGGAAATAGCAGCACTCTTATTTAATTAATAATTTCAATTCTTAATGTTTGCATTAACCAAGGGCATTTTTTGGTATTTTCAGTGTTTCGCCATTCTTTGCCTTTTGCTTTATATATATAGATAATATAATATGTATAATAAACTAATAAAGCTTCAAAATTTCCAGTTGGGTCCAATCCAATTCCATCAGATTTCTCCTCAATTTATGAATCCAAGGGCACAGGCTTTCTGTTCCATTTGCTCCGTTATTGTTTTCGATCGATGGAGAGAAGATGAACATTGAGAGCGATTTTCTTTATTTTTTTTAATTTTTAATAATACTTTACAGAGGATCCCACGTGTTTTGATTGACAGGGGTTGAAGGTTTAAAGTATGCTTAGAATGAATTTTCCTTAAGTCCTTAGAAGTCATTTTACAAATGGGTAAATTGTCTTTAAAATTTTGAAGATAAGGTGGGTGGGAAAATAGGACAAGGGAGTGGAAATAGCAGCACTTTAATTAAGGGCTACTTGTTTGAGAGTGATTTTGAAAGAGTGCTGCTATTTTCACCCACCTGTTCTATTTCCCCACCCACCTTATCTTCAAAATTTAAAAACAAATTTATCCATTTGTAAAATGACTTTTAAGGACTTTAGATTAAAAAAAAACACCTATTCTCCTTCATCCTTGTCAAACCCCTACCCCTCCCTCTCTCCCTCATCATGACCAAACCCAAATCAAAATTCCAATAAAGCTTCAAAATTTCCAGTTGGGTCCAATCCAATTCCATTAGATTTCTCCTCAGTTTCTGAACCCAAGGGCACACGCTTTCTATTCCATTTGCTCAGTTTGCTCTTCGTCTTCTTTCTGATTCTGGCATTTCTCTCCGTTATTGTTTTCGTTCAGTAGAGAGACAATGAACATTGAGAGCGATTTTCTTTATTTTTTTTAATTTTTAATAATACTTTACAGAGGATCCCACGTGTTTTGATTGACAGGGGTTGAAGGTTTGAAGTATGCTTAGAATGAGAGTAAGGAGAGTTTGCTTGAATTAATAATTAAAGGGTATTTTAGGAATAATGGTGGGTGTAAAAATAGGATTATGTTTTTTCAAATTTACATGGTGGGTGGGAAGATAAGGTGGGTGGGGAAATAGGACTGGGGGGTGGAAATAACAGCACTCTTTTGAAAGGGCCAAAAATTACTTTTATGGAGAATCACTTTTCCATATAATTACTTTAAGTGGTTTCTCCATATAATTACTTTAAGTGATTTTAAGTGATTATATGGAGAAGCAGTAGACTAATTAAAATCACTGCCAAACGATGTTATAAGCACACACACTTGAATTAATGGGGTTCCCTATATGAATTTAACACACATTTGACCGAATTTTACCCTAAAGAGGTCATGGCAATAGACTGGTCAATCTGACAACGCTGCATTCTTAGTCTTCTCACCATGAGGATAAAATTGAATCTCCATTTTGGACTGTCAATTAGGCTGTAGTTTCCCAGTCTCCTCTTCAAAGCTTCATTTGGTCTATAGCATTTATCACTCCCCATGTAGACGTTTTTGCAGCTTGATTCTGTCAGCCAAACTTAAGGGATGCAAAAATTGCTGACTTCGGAAATTATTGTATGGTATTGAAACGTGATTAGAACCCATTTTCCCCACTTGATCCTGAAAGAGTGGACCACATTAATATATATGATTGGGGAAATTTCAAGCCAGTTTCCACCCCTACTTTGGGGCCTCTTTTATCATTAGTTTATATTTTCTTTCACCTAATACTAATAGCTCATCAGCCATTCGGATATTATTAAGCCATTTTATTTACCATATCTTATCCTCGTGCTCAATTAGAGTATATAATAATACAGTTTCATGCTTGGAAGTATAGTCAAATTCACGACATCAATTTTTCAATCCACTAAGAAACAAAAATTGACCCATTTATTTTCACTTTCACCCCAAATCCAATACCATAATTTACAACACTAAGGTCAAAAGTGAAGCCAACTGAGCTGACTTTACGCTAGCAATCAATCAGTGCTGCTTTTGTTGGGGAAATAATTCAATGAATCTTCTTCCCTTCACCTGCCTGGAAGTGAAAACCGAAGTTTCCTCTCAGCTTCATAGAGGGTTTCTTGCAAGGCCTCTTCTATCTCCGCGGCCCCAATCTTTCAACAAGTACAATAAAATAGAGCAAGTTTAGAATTATATATATTTTTATATATAAAAAGGCAGGCGAGGGGTGACCGGTGAGAAAGACCACGTGTGCATTTTGCTATACTTCAATTTGGGAAATAAGACTTTTTCTATGATATCTTCCTATCTATTTCCATGCATAAAGCTTTTAGACGTTGGTGTCATTGTTGGCCAAGAAACAAAGGGTAATGTGTCACTCCAAAATAAAATAAAATAATGAAGTCGGTATCATATGTGATATTTGGGATTTGGTATTTTTTGGTTTACCATTCAACCTTGATTGGTAAATAGTGAGTGTGATATGTGGTTCAAATTAGAGAAATGTGGAGAGTTCGAGAGTCAAATTTTAAGTACATCATTCATTTTAGAGATATTTAGTTATATACTCATTCTTAGCATAAAAAATATAAATAAACTCTACACCATTTAATTTTTATAAACAAACCCAAAAAATAACAACTGGCTTTATTTAATTTAATTTTGATTATTAAATTACTTTGATGCCCTATTGAGTATTTTGGGTTTGTTTATGAGGTTTTGGGGTTGGATTTATTTTAAGAAATCGATGACAATTTTGCAGTTTATAAGAAGTTAAAAGCCTTTTTGTTATGTTGTAAACGGATTTTGGGTGTTTTAAAAGTCCATTTAATATAGGGTATTTTTATAATTTGAGCCCCTATATTGGGTATAATAGTGAATGTTCCTTAATTTTATCCCTTAACTAAACATATAATACTTTTGTGATTAAATGGGCAATTATGTAACCTCCTTTCTTTATCCCAAATCTAATTTTATCTTCTAAATAAGAAAAAAAATCAAATCAATTAGTAGAGCTGAAATGTAGAAAATATGCAAGGAAGACAGCTCATGAGAAGCAAGAAGGCAATGTCTTTTAGCAACCTTATTCCAATTTTGAAGAGCAAATTAATCATCCATCTCTATTTTTGTTTGTTTGTTTGTTTTTGTCGAAGCAAGAAGGCAATGTCTTTTAGCAACCTTATTCCAATTTTGAAGAGCAAATTAATCATCCATCTCTATTTTTGTTTGTTTCTTTTTTCTTTTTTCTTGATGACAGGGGACAAATGATTTGAACTCTCTAATTTAGCAAGGCTTGCTAGCATTTGAAGAAAAGAACCAGAAAAAAATAATTGTAATACTTTTGTGAGGGAGAGAGAGAGAGACCTTGGTTTCAATTTCCAGCTCTGCTGAAAACTCCTGGGCAGAGAAATTAGATTGAACATTTCTGGCTTTCAACCCCAAATATTGCAAGCACCTAAGAACCTCCAGCATAGAATCAACCCCTGATGTTGGATTTGCTACCCTTAATCTAATCTTGCTCCAATTCACTCTCTCCTTTTCGTTTGCCGCCAAAATGGCTTCAAACTCCATGTTCCTCTTTCTCAGCTCCTCCTTATACCTCTGCAGCTGCTGAATATTCATGGCTGTCATTTGCACAATCCAGTTCTTATCACTCTGCAAACATGCAACACAAGTTTTTTTTAGTCCTTCGTCATTTTAAATCACACAAAAAGAAAAGTGCAGGATGACGATTTTGGAGTAGCGAGACAGCTCTTGATAATTTAATTTAATTGATTAAACACCAACCTTGGCTCCATTTGGCAGCATGGAATGCAAGGCCATGTAGCTCTGCTTCTGCTTCTCCCTCCTCATGCGCTCGTTGAGCATGTGGCGAAAACCCCGTTCTCTGACGTCCTCTCCCGTTTCGATTCTGGCAGTTGCAGGTGCCCAACTTTTCCTCAGGAACTGCACCATCCTCTTGTTCATGTTCATGTAGTTAGGAGGCTTATCAAGCCCCTCTTCAGTGATGGGTCTGCTTGCGTAGGGCACAAAAGCTCTTTGGTTTAGTACTGGAAGACTCTCATACAACAAAAACTCACCTTCCAGTGCTTCAAGGATATATTGGTCCATATTCATCTTCTTTTCTTCTCTCTCTGCCTGTCTCGGTGTTTGTGCCGGGAATTTCAAATTTCAGTTGTGGTTAATATACAAGGCTCCACTTCTGGAACTGCGCTTTCTTTTCTCCAGTTAAAACGCATTTAACACGTGGTCAACTATCTGGTTTTGGTCAAGGAGACTTTTTTTCAAGTTTGTTTTTCTAATTTTTTTTTGTTTTTTTTAGCGTGTATGGCCATAGAGGGGACTTCGTAGTCAAAAGGAGACATCACACAACTTGCATTGGGGTGTCAAACTTATTGGCTTGGGGGTCGCTTTGTGGGCTCCAAGTCTTTTAACCCATCCATGAAATCTAAAAAATTTCGATCATTCATTTTGAGTCCAAGTTGTTTCCTCAGAGGAAACTTGGCATATAGAGTTTTTTTTGTTGCTTTCTGCTACATAGCTCTGTTGTTTTTCTGGAAGTAAAAACTTAAGGGAAATACTTCCCTCCTTATCATGTAAGTAGAAACATTCATGCTAATAGCAGTGTAATATGTGTGCAGAAGTTTTTCTTTTTGTCTTTTTAATGAATATGTGTCGAACTGTGATTCTTAAAATGGAGGAATATCTCTTTACAAGGAAGGAGGCAAGCATTATCCAAAACTTAAAACTTGATCACATCAGCAATTGTATAGCAAAAATATTTTAGGGTGAGAATAGACAATTATGAATTATATACCAAGGAACAGCCAGGCCCTACTGATAAGGTTTAGCATCTTGAATATGCAAGTAGCTTGGCTGTTAGATTGAACGATTTCAGAAAATAAAAACAGCTATACAACCATACAGACTCAGAATTCTTTCTGCATTCAAAATATTTAGAACATACATTTCAGAAAAATTACAAGTAACATCAAATTTTGCTTGTTTACTTGACAGGCAGTGGCAATCAGTCGAATGGATCAATAACATATTTATTTATAATTTTAACAAATCAGGCCACAAAGTCAAGTTGCTTGGCAACTACTTTGGCCAATGCAACAGCTGCAACAACCTTGCCCAATAAAACCAGTTTCTTATCCTGATCAATTGTAGAGCCTAATGGCAACTCTGAGCCAGAAGAAGTCTTCATCTTCTAACCTTAAAAAACTCATCCACAGCTCTCTCCCACCAGATCCGAGACGCAGAAATTCCTTCAAAGAAAGCTAAGTGACTCCCATGCTTTGTGGTGGCCAAAACAACATTCATCCCAAGGAATGGCTTCTCTGGTGCTGATTGGATCATCCAAGGCACTGATACAAAGCAGAGGCACACACACATTGCACACATAAATGGAGCTGCTTGTGCGCCTATAAAACGTGTCCAGTCTCAAACTTGCCCACATCACAGGTAGCATGGTAATGCCGAATGCAACGCATCTTGCCATCCCAATTCGCAAGCCGGGAATAGCAATGCTGGTGTAGCTGTGAGTACCATTCAAGGCCAAGTGTTAGAGCTTTGTCATAAAACTTCTGCAGCAGGGTACGGCGAATGAATCTGTCACCAATGAGAAAGTCCCAAGGATTGGAAATGGCTGCAGCACCAGAAACTGGGGCATTGTCTCCATCTTCTCCAAGATACTTGACCAAGATGTTGGCACCTAACACATACTCAATGTCAGCAGAAACATCTACGAAAAACATCGATATCTAGATAAGTTATATGGAAATTTCTAGTGAAATGTACTACTCTAGAAGAAATTAGATGATGGAAAATTGATTGTAATCAACTATGCTTGTTCCATTGAGAAACAATGGAGCCTTGGGATGCTTATGGTGGAGGCGATTGCAGACTTCACGAATATCGTTGGCCCATCCACAATTGTAAACCAAGTCTGAAGTAATTGGAACACCACCAAGTCCTCTGTGGTTGCTAATCACTACATTCCATCCCATTTTGGCCGTGTTGAAAGCAAGATGTCTTATGTAAGAAGATTGAGAATCACTGGTCAGTGAAGGAAGCACTACTACAATGGGGTTGTGTCATCTTTAGGCAACACATAAGAACTCACTGCCCAATCCAATGCAATAGTACCACCATCCAACAGACGAAATAGTTCTCTTTGGTAAGTGACAGCTGGAGGGTTGCCAAAGAAATTGAGGAAAAAATTCTGCAAATGAGGGCTCGTGAGCCACGGTGTGGCCAAGTACCGGCCATGGAGAACATGAAACCTGGAAACCACGCTGCGGTAGATGTGGGAGTCGAAGTTGTATGTCAAGTCGACAGGGTAGCCTCTGAATCCATTGAAAATTCCTCGGAGGAAATGGACGTAGAAGTAGATGTGGAGGAACACAAAGGAAGTGATGAGAAAGCCTAACAAGTAATGCCAAATGTGTATGAGAGTTGCAGCCTGGACCAAAAGTCATCTTTAGGCAACACATAAGAACTCACTGCCCAATCCAATGCAATAGTACCACCATCCAACAGACGAAATAGTTCTCTTTGGTAATTGACAGCTGGAGGGTTGCCAAAGAAATTGAGGAAAAAATTCTGCAAATGAGGGATCGTGAGCCACGGTGTGGCCAAGTACCGGCCATGGAGAACATGACACCTGGAAACCACGCTGCGGTAGATGTGGGAGTCGAACTTGTATGTCAAGTCGACAGGGTAGCCTCTGAATCCATTGAAAATTCCTCGGAGGAAATGGACGTAGAAGTAGATGTGGAGGAACACAAAGGAAGTGATGAGAAAGCCTAACAAGTAATGCCAAATGTGTATGAGAGTTGCAGCCTGGACCAAAAGCTCATAGGGGTTGGCAGAAGTTTCATGGAGGCCACTAAACCTTAAGCAACCATGTCTTTGTGGGGAGGAAAATTGGATTGAATTGAATGGATCTGGTCTCCAGTTTCTTGTGTGGTTTATGAAATAATATAGAGGCTCAAAATAATTGAGATTGGAAGCATTAAAAACATAGTTGTTGAAAACTAATGATTTGGGACCGAGGCCTTAGGAATTCTAAATAATTGAGATTGGAAGCATTGACGAGGACTACAATTAATATATATTAATCTAATTAAAACCACTTTGATAGCGTAGAAGATGAACGACTCAACCGAAAAGAGAAGATGAAACACATATGCCTAAACTCATTAAAACCACGCAATTCCATGAATTTATCAGAGCAATGCTTTGTAACTCAATTCCATGAAAGCAATGCTTTGTAACTCAATTCCATGAATTTATTAGAGCAAAAGCTTACTTACCAACCCTAATTGAGAAAAATAAGAAAGAAAACTTAGGGCCCGTTTGGTATCCCAGTCTGTATGTAACCAAAGAGTAAATCTTTCATTATCAATAATGAAGCATGTGAAGCTGTAGACAGAAGTAAGTGATGAAAAATATCCACCGTGATTGAAGAATCATGTTCATTTACATAGAATGCTTCTTCGGCAAAAGTGTTACACATGTTTGAGGCCTGAAAACATCAATATGCTCTACAAACCAGCTACATCTAACTCCTCCCACAAGAACTTAAAAACATGGCAAGAGATCATGACAGAAACTTGTGTACCAAAAAACTAATGTAAAGTTACATATACGTCGGCCTCCCAAAATTGTCTGTACAATATGCCAAGCAACCAGGATGCTATTCCCACAACCCTTTCGACAATTTCTGAATGCTGTTCTACCAATGGTTTACATTCAGTTGATACCATCATTGTAGGGAGTCATGTTCCTCATCTTGGTCTGATCCAGCACATGAATTTGTCGGCACTGCATGCAAATGGTGTTCAGGAACTTCCAATTCTGTTTGAGAATCCTGATTCTCGAAATAAGGAAAATTGGTTTCCAGGTGAGGATTGCAAATTGAGTAATTGCCTTCATCTTCACCATCATTTTCGCTGTTATATGTTTCAAGATAAGCATCTCCTTCCTTCAAAAGGAGAACAAAAGGAGAACAAAAGGATTAAGATGTTAAAACAGCTGGTTTAACTAACAAAAAGAGTAAACTTAGAAGATCAAGTAAATACAAACCTCAGAATCCTCATCGTCAGTAGGGTAAGAAGAATCTAATTTGTTGTACAATGCTTCATCTCCTTGATCTTTCACACTATCCATTTGTTCCTATCAATGTGAAACACGAGCCACTTAGAATGAAAAGGGAAAAGGTGGTATATATACTTCTCCTGCCATTTAAAATAGTTAGACTTGTAATAGCAATAACTAAAATGTATAAAGGGGCATACTATTTCGGATCTAAGTGTGTCCACTTTACTCTGCACAGCTGAAATATGTTTTAGAAGAGCCTGTTCAACAAAGCGAAAAATAAGTCAGGACAATTATTGTTCACAAAAACATATCAAACAATAAATAATAAAGCCTCCTACATGTAGGGGCAAATCACTCTGGGCATATGGGTCACAATATCTTATGAAACCAGGAGCTATTAGCATTCAAATTTTTAGTGATACCTCCTGTCTTTGAAGCTCAATAGAGCGTGCCAAAGCTTTCCTTTTTGTCAAAAGATTCTTTGGCCTCAATGTAGAAGGTCGGTGATAGTCCTTTCCTCGGTACACAATTATAGCAAATTTTTTGGAAACTTTGTCTACTGAAACCAAGACACCTCCACTCTCTGCTTCAAGTGCTAATGCAATATTTTTGACCTGTTCAAAAGTTTTAGCATTCACCATTATCTTGACCAACTCCCGGTACTTCCAGTGCAAATGCATGTTCTCCACTGTACCATCAAATACTCCACGTCTACCTGAAGAAATCAAGTTTCAATAAGTAAACCATAATAAAATCACAGCATGATAAATTGGTAGATGGAGAATTGTTATACCAAGAAGTAAGAAAGCTTTCATCCTTAATCCAAGCTTACGAAACATAAACCTCTCCTCATCAGTAATGCTTTCTGGGTCTGCTTGCTGCTTGGATGGTTTCAAAGATTCCTCTACCTTAGACAAGGCTTGTTCAGCTCTCATTAGCTTTCGTTCAGCCTAACAGACAAAATTCAAAAGTTCAAAGGAAGCAAAATTCTAGCACTGGAACAGCGTGATATAAAATAGCATATTAAGTATTCAAAGGGACTTATGACAGAAAGACACTTTGTTAGACTACAAGATGTTTCTTATACTAAATCTTTTGCAAGACAATCCCAAGTTTCTGTACTTACAAAGGAAAGCTTTCGTTCAAGCTTTCTGACCAGATGGGCGTGCCTTAATATGTCTGCTTCTCGCATAACTTTTTCTTTATCCAACCTCTTTCCCCACTTAGCATCTGCATCCAAAGTCTCTCCAAGTGTACCAGCGATACCAAAGTGTTGTGCTACTTCAACATTTGGTATGATCATGGCTGAAGCTCTCAACCTCGCCTGTTCCTCTTCATCTTGAAGGGATTTTGCCAATCTCTCCCTTTCCAGTAACGCTTCAGTGACATCTGGTGACAAAAAATTCTTCCCCCTATAGAAGACCAAGAAGTCCTTGTTTCGAGATAGCATGACACCCCCTGTCAATCTCTGCAGCAAATAAATAACATTTAATTGTATAAATATGAATTAAGAACACACATTAGCTAATATGAACAGATGTAAATATATGAGTGATGAAATGATTTATTACCAATTATTTACAAATGAATATATGGAGTGATATACTAGCCTTTAATATTCAATGTTACCAAACCATGCATGTTATAAGTAGCAATTGGAAAAAACTAACCAGAAGACCCAGAACCTCTAATCTTATTGTAAAAGAATAACCTTATCTACAGAGATGCCATTCAGATGCCAAAACATCTAGATGTGCGCTCCAGACAAAAGGATGAACACAGAAGCAAAAGAATTTAGGAAAACAAAGAAAACTACTTTCTCTGGCACACCTGTAAAGCATTTCTGAAAGTAACAGCACACAGAATTATAATTTTATGTTTAAGAGTTGATTTGGTTAATTCCCACAAAATAGGCAATGAAGAAAACATTGACTATACAACAGTCAGAATGATATAATGGAAGGAAGAACAAGACAGACATTGCATTGCACTCGGTAAGCCCTTTGCCAAAAATAAATTTATTTCTCAGTTTCCTTAAAGGATGCAGTCCCTTTCTGATGTAAAACTTCTCTCAGTGAGTCAACTTACTTTCATACTACTAACAAATAATCTCTAGCAAAAGAGTTGGACCTGGCTAATCTTGTCTTTTTCTTTATCTCTCTCTTAATAAGTAGTCAATTGGGCCAACACTACGAATGTAATCTGCCAAGAATATCATATTCCAGTTCGCAGTTGCCTACTAAAATATTCACAAGATAGATACTGATAGCTGGACTCAATAACTAACTATATGAGGTACTATTCACCCATTGATTTAGAAACTCAGCACACCAATTTTGAGTTTAGTAGTTGAATGCAACATTAGTACATGGCAAGGTGCACCTTGACAATAATTAGGTAGGAGTGAGTCATAAATCGAACCGAGTTCCATTACCTTTATGTCTTCAGCCATTCTCTCACTAGTAGTCAGCTGAACACCACGTTTCAGTGCAATCTTTGCAATCAAACTTTTTTCCCATAATTTAGCCATGGCTACTGCTAGACCCTGGAGCTGTCTGCTTCGGCCTACAGAAAAAATTTATACAATAATCAAATAAGCATCTTGTCAATTATGTGCAACATGAAAATGCATACCTAAAGCAAAATGTGGTGGAAGAACCCTAGCCAGCCTTCTTAAAGATGTTGCCTCCTTTAAACCAAGGGTAGATCGCACTCCATAAGGAAGTACTCTGAAGGGCGGCTGGTAACCAGGAACTATCCCCGGGAGCATATCTGCATCTACAGGTAACGGATCGCATCCTGGCCAATCTTTGAATCTAGGGCCTAAACTATCTAAAAGTTTGTCTACTTCATCTTCATACTTCACTTCTGCCAACTGTTCTGTGTCTTCCTTCTCCTGGGAAGTATTCTCTGACTTTTCTTTGGGTGTTTTTACATTACTATAAGAAGCAAGCTCAGCAAAGTCTCCAACAGATTTATCAGCAACAGTTGGTAAAGGTGCGGAAGAAATGTCATTTTTCTTGTATATCCGCTTGTTTAGTTTTACTGAAGGAACCTCATAGCTCACACCTCTGTACAAAGAAAGGGATGTGCCAGACCTCCAAATCACCAAACCACCAGTTTTTCGCTGATCATAACAACAGAAAACAAAATTAAATTAAAAACAAAATGGATAGGAACAACCAAGAAATTCTCAAATATGCTATTCTAAAAACTTTTACTTTTTTCGTTCTTTATTTTTTCTTAATGAAAGATTTCATTACAGAAAATAAATACCAAGTGAAAAGGCAAAAAGGAAAGCTTTTAATTCAGATCATTTCAAGCCTACAAAAGCTGTTTCTCAAACAATTTGGACAAGAGTCTCTACCTTCAACATCCACCAACTAAGGGGCAAATTAATGTTTAGATATTTGCGTTCAATTCCACTGACCAATCAACATAGTTCAACAGCGAAGAAAATTCCTTGAGCTTCAAATTCTAGCTCCATTTTCTATTCTGTGGCATATATTTAAGAACTGGAGGCAGCCCTCCATTTTCTACTGGACATGAAATTCTTGCAGAGATGTAAAATACAAGTTTTGTTTTATACTTTCTGTGTCTTATCGCTATATATCCTTTCAATTAATATCTAATCAATAATTACAGCTCAAAATATGATAAAATAGATGTAAATTTGTCTCATATAAAGAGATTAAAACAAATTTGTAACTAAAATCATAAGAAGCAAACCTCCAATATCTCATGCATTCTCTTCATGTTAAGAGCTGGGGGCCCTTCAATTTTCAATCTCACAATCTCTGAAGTCTTCCATCTCTCATGGATCATCTCCACTACGGCTTGAGTAACACCACCACCTACTATTTCTCCCCCCACCGCTATCACCCTCAGCATATCCTGAACCACTCAAATTCCCACTTTCACTACTCTGATAGTCCAACACAGCCCGGGGTGGCTTTGGGCGATTATGTTTGTGGGAGACATTCCATTTATCAATCCAACTACTGCTAGAAAAATTCTTCCTGGGTTTATATTCAGAAATGGGTTGATTTTTCCTAACAAAATTTGATTTCCTTAGCGGGTTTTGCTCAGGGTTTAAGGTAGAGCTGATACTGTAGTGGGTGGCATAGAAAGTGTGCTTTTTGAAAGGAATGGAGGAACCGCACCTGAATAAATGGATGTGGGGGCCATGGATCTCTTCCTCTTTTGGCTTTTCCCATGGAAACCTCACCTTACCATCACCTCCAAACACATTCTCTATCCCTAATGGTGATTCCTCCGAGAACCCACCCCTTGAATTTGGCAACATTCCTTCCTCAACATAAAATATATCCTCCACAGAACCTTTCTCAATCACTCTGTCTCTCACCTCCCCTTTATTCTCATTGCTATCATCAACGTACCCAAATTTCTTCAATTTCTCAACAATCTTCTCCATTGTACTACCACTACTATTTCTACCCCCACCGCTATCACCCTCAGCATATCCTGAACCACTCAAATTCCCACTTTCACTACTCTGATAGTCCAACACAGCCCGGGGTGGCTTTGGGCGATTATGTTTGTGGGAGACATTCCATTTATCAATCCAACTACTGCTAGAAAAATTCTTCTTGGGTTTATATTGAGAAATGGGTTGATTTTTCCTAACAAAATTTGATTTCCTTAGCGGGTTTTGCTCAGGGTTTAAGGTAGAGCTGACAGTGTAGTGGGTGGCATAGAAAGTGTGCTTTTTGAAAGGAATGGAGGAACCGCACCTGAATAAATGGATGTGGGGGCCATGGGACTTTGAGAAGGAGCTCTGGAATGAGTCGAATAAGCTCGTTGGGTAAAGTTGACGACTGGGCACAAGAGTCATCACGGAATAAAGAGACAGCGGTGCATCAATTTAGTGAAAATGTCGAAACTAAACAAACCCAATTGATGGATGAAACTGTGAGATTGTCGAGGGTTTTGTGAGGTTTTTGGGGGTTCAACCGACAGACTAACGAACAGCGTAACTTCTTCTTCTTCCTTTATTTTGTGGCTATGTTGCTAACTTCTTATTATCCATGGCGGGGGAGTAAATATCTAAAACGCTGTTTGGCAGCACTTGTACCCTTTTGTTTTTCGAAAAAAGAAAAGAAAAAGGATTTTCCATTTTAAGGTTTTTGATCGAAATCTTCTTTAATTTGTCCCCGAGTTAGATTTTGGTCATCTAACTAAATCATTCGATCAAATGGTACTTTAATTCTCTCTATCTCTATTAGAGGGACCAAATCTTAATTGGTAGGTTCAAATATGAGATTGGGTGTTTGAGGCTTGCAATTGAAGGTTTAAATATGAGATTGGATGTTTAAATATGGTATTACAAATTGAACGTTTACGTAAGAGGCTTGCAATTTAAGTTGTTAAGAATTTACTCAAGCACTTGAGATCCTATATCAAAGAGGAGGAGACCTAGAATTCTTATAGCAAATTATCACTCTTACTCCCACAAACTGAATCTACTAATCAATCTTGCAACTTTATAAAAGAATGATTATATTATGCTATTTCTTCATTTCTCATATCACTAAATTCTTCTTCCCACTCAATCTTGAAACAAATAAAAATGTGTAATTCATAGTCACAAGAGTGTGCTACATGGGAGAAACGAGAAACAAACAAAAAAGTGTGACTCAGACTCATGAGAGATGGCCAATGATACATAGGAAGAACGTGATTGTCAATGTTACACAAGAAGAACATAACTGTCAGTGATATACGGGAATAACGTTACTGACAATGGTACACAAAAAGAACGTTACTACAGTGATACCTGAAAAAGAACGTTACTTGCAGTAATACATGGAAAAGAACACGGATTTTCAAACCACAAAATGCTTGATTTTCATTTCCATTTTCAGAGCTTTGCCTCCCTTTTCAACAAATACGAGTGTAAAATTTATTTAAAAATTTCAAATCAACTATATAATAAAAAAATTTCCACAAAAAAATTTCATTAACAATTTTATCAAATATGATTAAACTTGCCGTGGTTGTGTTCTTCTTCTCCTTCTTTTTTAATAAATGTTTTATTTATTAAAGTGTTGACTTAAGTTGTAGGGGGCTTCTCCAATGCGAACTCTAAGATGCGAACTCGTTGCGAACTTTTATTTTTAACCGTTGGAAGAAGAGCGAAAATAAAGAAAATAAAGCCACACAAGCCATCCAACAGTTAAAAATAAAAGTTCGCAACGAGTTCGCATCTTAGAGTTCGCATTGGAGAATGCCCCTAAGTGGTATTGGAAAACAAGAAAACCAATATCAATTGTATTAAGGAAAAAAAGAAAAACGAAATAGGATGAATAGGTGGCAACCTATTAAATTGGTCTTATCCGATATAGGGGTTACGATGACCAACTTGCCAAACATCCCCTAGCAGCTCAGTATATAACAAAGCACCTTGAAAGAGCAAAACTGCACACACAGTGCTGCGTGGTCTCTCACTCGTTCAAACTCCGTGAAAAGCCTTCCATTTCTTCTTACCCATCAATTTCGTCCCACCTGTGGATCTCTTTCAGAGCCCCTGTAAGTTCTCTATCGGGTTTTCTTCTCAAATCGTAACCAGGTTTTTACTCTTAAGCCATCATTGTTGATCTTTCGCAAATTTCAATATCCTCAGATTTGTTTTTTTTTTTTTTCTCGGGGCCTTTGAATTTTACTTCTTTAAGATTAAAGTCATGTGCGTTCAAGTATTTGTGAGCTCTCTGTATCTGGGTTTTGAGCAAAATGACTTTATTGATAAAGCTTTGATTTGCAATGTATATTAATTGAGTCATAGGAACTGCTCTGCATGTACTTGGTTAATGCATTTATGTTTGCTCCACAGATATCAGATATGAGAAATGATGAATTTTTAGGAGAAATGGAGACTTACAGAGAGAAGTTATGGATCTGATAAGCTAAAGGATTGTCTAGATGTTAAAGATTAGTTGGAGCAGAGAATTTTGCTTTCTACTGTTGAGAAATTGAAATTCTAAGAATCCTACTTTTATTTCAATTACTGTAATAAGATTATAACTGAGATTTTTTAATCAACTGTATATTTGATTGAAGGGAATTTAATAAGTTATACCCAACAAACTGAGTGGTGCTCAACTGTTTGGCTAGCAGTGCCGAAGAGGAAGAGATGCATCTCTTAAGAATGGATTTAGAGGTCTTTTATAAGAGTCAGATGAGAGAATGTATGTGGCTTTCGTGATTTCTTGTGAATGGATGATTTCTTGAATGCATGTTATGTATCATGTTTCCCTCGTTATCAAGGTCTCTCTGATAATTGTGTCTGATAGAAATAACATGGCCCAATTTCTGAGTTGACTTTGACACCACCAGCAGGTTTCCACTTAGAAAATTCATTTAACAGACTTGTTCCAGTGATATGGAAATTTTAATTCCTGATTGAATATATACCTAGTTTGTTAGTATCTTATTACTGCTGTTGATACCGTGATACATATGATTCTGTATTTACACCATTCGACCAGTCGATGCTTGATAGTTAATTAGCTCCCCATTGGCCACCGGTTCTATTATTTAGAGAGGTCCTCGTTTTTCATTCTCTGTTTTCAATTTTCTGGGGCCTTTGTTTTATCTTTATGCGTTTCCTAAGAAGCAGGTAGATTGATTCTGAAACCTTTGTTTATAACCTTGTTTCTTTTGGCCAGTTTTTGAAGTTGATCTGAACATGTTTTATGAAGTGGAACTGCTCAGGGAAGTGGCTGTCCTTGCTGAAAGTCTAGACAGGGACAAACTTGTTTCTTCGAGGTTCATTGTAACACGTCTTTTGGAGGGTTTGTTAAGCGAGAAGGCAGACGAGGATCTCGGATACTTTCTTGCAGTCACTGGCTTAAAGAGGATAGGGAAAGGAGAAGTTGTACGCAACTCAGGAGATGTGTTCTTCCCTGTAGTTTTCAATTGTCGGATGTTCCTGCCTCACAAGGGAGAGATCTTGGAAGGAGTCGTTCATCACGTATACAGACTTGGGGTTTTCTTGAGATGTGGACCTGTTAAATATGTTTTTCTTTCTGCTCGAAAAATGCCAAATTACCGCTATGTTGTTGGGGAAAAACCCGTCTTCTTGCATGATGACCTTGCAAGGATAGAGAAGGATGTTGTGGTTCGCTTCGAGGTGCTTGGAGTCAGATGGATTGAGAGGAGGGAAGATATAACAAAGGAGTTTATGATGCTTGCCAGTTTACAGGGTGATTTGCTTGGTCCCGTTACTGGTCCTGATGGACTGGATTTGTAAAGATTCAAACTATATGAAGGTTGCTTTTGTAAAATTGTAATTACCTGATAGGAAGACTAGTTCAGTTTTACCCTTTAAGATGCTTATGGGAAATAGATCTTAATTTTCATTGTGATGTAGACATGAGCAGCAAAATGTATTCCCAAACTGGTGCTCCAATGCTAAATTGGTTTTACTGCATTTATAGTGGTAAAAAAACCTGGACAATTTGATTGGGAAGAGACATTTTGAGTGTTTTAGTTAAAAAAACATGTCTGCTACTAGTTATGCTCAGCTTTGACATTGGAAAACTGACTATAGAGAATTATTCATGTAAATAATGAATTGACCCTCTAAACTCAACTCATTAACAATAATACTTTAAACCGGTAGAAGAGAGAAAATATATAGGGGAGTAACACAAAAAAAATACCGTATGTGTTGCATTGTTATGGTTCATTGAGAAGTATTTTCTATGGTAATACCAAAATTGGGAGCAAAGAACCAACCAAATTGACCCTTCAAATGATACTACACCACTCAAGGAGTCAAATGTTATTTCCATGAATTAGAATGTATAATTGTTCTTTTCATTTTGAGGAAATATTTGTTTTATTTGTCAGACCTAACATTTTTAATGTATTTTTGGCTCCAAAATATGAAAAGCGCATGCTAGTTATCCACGTGGCTTTCAGCAATTGAAACAGGTGGCGGCAATTGTAGCTTAAGGCATGACATATAAAGCATATCAAAATTTCTCCCTCACGCAGTCAAGCTCTGCTCGGCTGAGGACCAGAGACATTGGCTCAGTGAGTGAGCTCGTGCTTCTTCGTCCGCGGGACCAGTCTTTTGGGCTACACACGGTTGAGCACTCGCCCCTCTGTCTCATCCCAAGCTCCTAAAGCTTCCGTTTCCTCTTCAAGGTCTTGGCCTTTCAAAGGTGCGTGCTTTAAGGTTTTGCAAACCCTAATCTTTATCTATCTCTCTATGTATATGTAAGTTTGCGGTTGAATTATTTGATTCTTCGAGTAAATGGGTTCCATATAAATTGATTAATTCGATTTGGGTTTGTTGATTCAGTTAGTGGAATTTGCTTCACAGTGAATGCTTGAGTGATGTGATTTTGTGGTTTGGTAAAATGGTTGTGTGTGGTTTGAAGAACATGTGAATTGATCGAACAGCTTTTTGTGGTGTCAGGACCTCTTTACCTTAGACATGGAGGTAGAAAGATCATGAGGGAATGGGAAAATGGGGATTATGGTTTAGACTCATGCTGTGTTTCTTTTGTTGCTTTTGTCTTGTATGTCTTTCAAGAATGTTGTTTATAGTGTTTTCTATCAGTTAAAACAAAGAAAAAAACAATTAAAGAACCTAGTATCAGTCAGCTGCTGCTTCACTTTGTTTCACTGGGGGTAGTTAGTTCTTGCTAATGTGTATCAGCGTATGAGTTCTACTCACCTGCCAGAAGGAATGGAATTTGGTTTCCCACAACAACTAAATCACAACTAGGGATTGCTGGGTGGGGCAGTGTTTTTAAACCACGAAACACTCGATTTTCATTTCCATTTCAGAGCCAAGCCTCTCTTTCTAATAGAGGGGAGTGAGAAATAATTTTTTTTTTCTTTTCGGATAAACTATTCACATAATTTTTTTTCCACAAACAAGTTTTATTAACAGTTTTACCAAATGTGATTAAACTTGCTGTAGTTTTGTTTTGTTTTGTTAGTTTTTCAAGTATTGACTTTAGGATGTATTTGAAAAAAGAATAACTAGAATGCAAGGGAATTGTAAGTCAAGTAGTTTAGAGCATCTATTGGTACACACGATGAGGTCATGTTTTCGAATCACCCACCCCTGATATTGATTGTATAAGAAAAAAACTAGGATGAATGGGTGTCACCTTATTAAATTGGCCTTATCTGATATTAGCGGTTATGCTGACCAACTTGCCAAACATCCCTAAGCAGCTCGTTATATCAAAGCACGGTGCTGCATGGTCTCACTCATACAAATTGCGTGAAAACCTTCCAATACTTTTCTTACACATCAATTTCGTCCCACCTGTGGAGCCTCAGTAAGTTTTCTCTATCGGGTTTTGTTCTTAAATCGTAACCAGGTTCTTGCCCTTAAGCCCTCTTTGTTAAGCTTTCGCAAATTTCAGTATCCTCAGTGTTTTTTGGTCTCAGGGCCTTTAAATTTTACCTCTATAAGGTTAAAGTCATGTGCTTTCAAGTATTTTAAGCTCTCTGTATCTGTGTTTTGAGCAAAATGACTTTATTTCATTGATAAAGCTTTGATTTGCAATATATGGTAATGGAGTCGGAGGAACTGGTGACTGATGTAGTTTTGCGTGTACTTGGTTAATGCATTTATGTTTGCTCTATCCTACATTTGTAGAAACAAAGTAATAATTGACCCATAACTATTGGTCTCTGTGTCTACAGATATCAGATTTGAGAAATGGAGTACTTAAAGAGAAGTGATATATATAGATCACATAAGCTAAATAATTGTTTAGATGTTAAGGATTAATTGGACCAAAACCCTGAAATGAAGTAGAAAAATAAGAAATTAATTTGTAGATAAGATTGTCCTAAAGAAAGCATCTTTAGCATCAGTGCATCTTCTTTGGAGCTCTATATTGGATTGTTTTTTATTTTATTCCTTTGCTCAAGATCTCAAAAGCTAAAGTAAAGGTTGGTGCATGGGATGAGGATTGATAAGATATCTTATTTCAGCTTTTCTTTGTTTGGTCGGTCATTCTAGTTAGGAATGAGTGCCAGATTAAAAAGATAGTGAGATGAGTGTTGAGGAAGCAGGGGAGCATTCATTGCAAGCGTATATAACTTTAGCTTTCTTATTCTGTCTAGTTACTTTATTGAGAGAGAAATGTGATTGTGGTATGTAGAATAATTAATAATACAGCATTTGCTGACATGCATATGGTAAGGAGGATATGGTTTCCAAATGGATTAAATCCAAAGATTTCATAGAGAGAGGTGAAGATAAAGAGACAACAGGAGTTTTGGTCTTTGAGTCGTGCGTAGAAACAGCGGAAATAGTTTTTGCGGGTAGGTTAACACCCCTCCTCTCATGGGCAATGTAGGGCCCATATTTGAACTGGTTCTGCTCGTAAAGTTCTATTTTCCTCAAATCTAATGTACTTTTGAGAAGGATTCATGGATTAAAACTAATGTACTTTTAGTTGCTGATTCATTCTTTGGTGTATGGCATGTAGGAAAAAGCAACCATGTTTCTCAAAGTACAGTTGCCGTGGAATGTGGTCATCCCTGCTGAGAGCCTTGATATAAAAGGACTGATGCTCCAAAAGTCAATTGTGGTCCGCCTGCTGGATGAATTTGCATCAAGAAAGGCAACCAAGGATCTGGGATACCTTCTTGCTCTCACAACTCTGGAGAGCATAGGAGAGGGTAGGGTCAGGGAGCATACTGGGGATGTGCTGTTTCCAGTTGCTTTTAGCGGCATCACCTTCAAGCTTTTCAGGGGAGAGATTGCAGAGGGTGTTGTCCACAAAGTTCTGAAGCATGGAGTTTTTCTGAGTTGTGGCCCAGTTGAAAACATCTATCTCTCTAAGCTGAAGATGCCTGATTATGATTATGTGCCCGGGGAGAATCCTGTATTCATGAATAGCAAGATGTCTAAAATTGAGAAGGGCTCCACGGTTCGTTTCATTGTCATTGGGACTAAGTGGCTTGAATCAGAAAGAGAATTTCAGGCGTTGGTTGGTTTGCATGCAGATTATCTAGGACCAGTTTCTTAGTTTGGTTACCTTCTAGCCAATCCCTTCGTAGCATAGTGTTTTTGCTGACTGTATCAGTCTGTCTTTGGAATGTTAATATCATGTGAGTAACTTCGGATCTTTCTCAGTAAAGGTTGAAGTCTGTTGCTGTTTTTCTTAGCAAGGAATTAATATACACTTTTATCCTGGATAACTTGCTGTTCGCACTCTAAAACAGATCAGTTCTAGCATTTTTGTTTTTTAATCCATGACATTTTGGCCCTTGCACTTAATAGTGTTGGTTTATATTGTTGTTCTTCGCTACGCGTATTATTTGGAAAAAAAAGATGAAGCAAGAGGTAGAGAATGGATTGAATATCAGAAAGTCGAACATCGCCTTTGGCCTGTTTGGTTCGCGGAAAAAATTTGATGGGAAATAATTTTTGATGTCTTTCCCAAGGGATGAGAAATGGAAGATTTCTTTATCATGTTTGGTAATTATGGGAAAGTAATCAGGAAATACCACTTTATTTTCTTTCACATATTTGGTTTGTGTATGAATATAAAACAAAATTTGTTTAATTTTTCAATTATACCCATATGAAATCAAATAAAAAAAAAGAATGCATTTAATGCTATATTGTAATTTTAAATTGTTAATGGGGACACTATGATCATGAAAAATGTGCATTTAATGTTGGCTTATTTTCCCAAACTTTCCCACAAGGAGAAAAACAAAACTCATGGGGGGAGGAGAGCTTCACTTTCGTCCTTACTTTTCCATGTGTCAGGCAACCATTTTCTATGCATGGACTTAGCAAATATGGAAAAACAATTGATTTCCTATCTCCAAGCCTCTTTTCTCAAGCTTTTCAGGGGAGAGATTGCAGAGGGTGTTGTCCACAAAGTTCTGAAGCATGGAGTTTTTCTGAGTTGTGGCCCAGTTGAAAACATCTATCTCTCTAAGCTGAAGATGCCTGATTATGATTATGTGCCTGGGGAGAATCCTGTATTCATGAATAGCAAGATGTCTAAAATTGAGAAGGGCTCCACGGTTCGTTTCATTGTCATTGGGACTAAGTGGCTTGAATCAGAAAGAGAATTTCAGGCGTTGGTTGGTTTGCATGCAGATTATCTAGGACCAGTTTCTTAGTTTGGTTACCTTCTAGCCAATCCCTTCGTAGCATAGTGTTTTTGCTGACTGTATCAGTCTGTCTTTGGAATGTTAATATCATGTGAGTAACTTCGGATCTTTCTCAGTAAAGGTTGAAGTCTGTTGCTGTTTTTCTTAGCAAGGAATTAATATACACTTTATCCTGGATAACTTGCTGTTCGCACTCTAAAACAGATCAGTTCTAGCATTTTTGTTTTTTAATCCATGACATTTTGGCCCTTGCACTTAATAGTGTTGGTTTATATTGTTGTTCTTCGCTACGCGTATTATTTGGAAAAAAAAGATGAAGCAAGAGGTAGAGAATGGATTGAATATCAGAAAGTCGAACATCGCCTTTGGCCTGTTTGGTTCGCGGAAAAAATTTGATGGGAAATAATTTTTGATGTCTTTCCCAAGGGATGAGAAATGGAAGATTTCTTTATCATGTTTGGTAATCATGGGAAAGTAATCAGGAAATACCACTTTATTTTCTTTCACATATTTGGTTTGTGTATGAATATAAAACAAAATTTGTTTAATTTTTCAATTATACCCATATGAAATCAAATAAAAAAAAAGAATGCATTTAATGCTATATTGTAATTTTAAATTGTTAATGGGGACACTATGATCATGAAAAATGTGCATTTAATGTTGGCTTATTTTCCCAAACTTTCCCACAAGGAGAAAAACAAAACTCATGGGGGGAGGAGAGCTTCACTTTCGTCCTTACTTTTCCATGTGTCAGGCAACCATTTTCTATGCATGGACTTAGCAAATATGGAAAAACAATTGATTTCCTATCTCCAAGCCTCTTTTCTTATGAACCAAACAAGACCTTAGGCCATCTCCAACCCAAATGGGGCTAAACCCAAATTTCTCCCCTTAAAAATACAACTATTTATGTATTGCCCGGACTCAAATAATTTTTTTCTCCAACCATGCATACTTATTAACTTGTTTAAAAATGGTTAACCCCTAAATTTTTTTTTTGGTTAATTTTTTTTAACATTATTTTTATTTCAACATTTGTGATTTAATTTTCTAAACATTTTAACCTAAAAAAAATTCAAAATCCAAAACATAATATAATTTCAGTTAAAAATCAAAACATATTAAGATAAATGATAATCACAAAATTATTTTGGGTTGAATCTGATTTAGAGTAATAATAAAAATTAATTTTGCTGTTGGATTTAAATTTCAGTCATTGAATGTGAATTTTTTCCATTGAGATTGCTTAAAAATATCCTGGCCATTGATTATATGTAGAATGAAAAAAAATAAAATTGACACAACAACTATGCAGCCGTTGGATTGAAACAAATAGTTATTCTGGGTTTGACAAGTGGCGCAAGCAGCATGGGCAAGTTGGTGATAGGTGGTCCATGTAGCTGGGGTCTTCACGTGGCTCCTTGGTTTGATGTGAATTGGGCCCCACAACAATTCCGTATGGACTGGAAAGTTGGGCCAAATACCGCCCCACATATCAATCTGCCTAAAATTCCCCCCTCCCTATACTGGAGAGGCTAGAATGAGGAGGTTGAGTGAGGAGCTTATTTGAGGAGGTGAAATCTCACCATCAACAACTAAAAACAAAGCACATGGGGGGGTGCATTGGGGGGTCCACACCCCTTTTGATGGTGAGATGAGCCTCCTCAAATAAGCTCCTCACTCAACCTCCTCATTATAGAAGCTCCCTCCCTATACATGCGTTGGGGATGAATTTGGGCCAAATTTTGGGATTTTTTTGGGTTTAGCCCCAGGGTTGGAGAAGGCCTTAGAGATGTCAAATTCAACGTGGAATGGAGGAGGGTTTCATTTTGAGTAAACCTTTTCCTATATCTCGGCACCAAACATGGGAAATTAATGATTTCCCTTCCTAAGCACCTTTCCCCGCAAACCAAACGCGGAGATGTACACTTGAACAAAAGCCTCCTCGGTTACATGGCCCTTCCATTCACCGAGGCTCTATTAAGCCCAGCCCATCCCGCCAACTCTCAAATTGCTACAAAAGTTGATATAATGCTTTAGGGACCAGAACGAACCTAGCTACTAAAACAGCAACAGCTGAACCACCGTGGATGCAGGAAATTAATAAGCAAAGCTCCCGTCACCATTCCATTTGAGGAAAGGCCCTTAGCAGAGCGTAGCCCTGACTGCAGCAAACTAGCTAACATATTTAAGGTGTTTTGAATTAAACCCCACATTAATTATGCATCTGTCTACACGTTACATTGAGGATTGAGGTAGGTGACAATTTACTATCAGGGTGGTAGGTATACTAATTAACTACAAGTAGTTGTTGCAAACCCTAGCTATTATTTTCACCCAAAAAAAAAAAAACCCTAGCTATTCTTCGTTGTGTTTGTGTTATGTGTATATATATATATTATATATGTATTCTTCAGTGTTCTCTTTGTATGACTATGTAGTATTGTTTTAAGAAGAAAAACAATTAATTCACTATGTTTCTCAAAGTACAGTTGCCCTGGAATGTTTTAGTCCCAGCTGAAAGCCTGGGACCGATGCTCCAAAGATCAATCGTACACCACCTGCTTGAAGATTTTGCTCAAAGAAAGGCAGCCAAAGATGTTGGGTACTACGTTGCTGTCACATCTGTGGACAGCATAGGAGATGGCAGAGTGAAGCAGGGAACTGGGGAGGTGGAGTTTCCAGTTCTTTTCAGCGGCACCACCTTCAAGCTTTTCAAGGGAGAGGTCTTACTGGGTGTTGTTCAGGAGGTGCTGAGATATGGAGTTTTCTTGCAATGCGGTCCAGCTGAAACTGTATTTCTCTCTAACAAGAAAATGCCGGATTACCGATACGTGCTTGGAGACAATCCAATGTTCTTGAATGACAAGCTATCGTCTAAGATTGAAAAAGACGTGGTGGTTTGCTTCGTTGTCATCGGTACTCAATGGCTTCCAGAAAAGAGGGAATTTCGTGCTGTGATTGGTTTGGACGTTGATTATTTAGGACCAGTTTCTTAATTAGCTTGTTCATGGTATTTTGTGCATGATTATATATATGACCTGGACTTGGAAGTATGTTTCTAAGCATGTTTTGTACTTAAACCTTGGCAATTAGTGCTGGTTGTGTTTTACTTTTTGTTTTGTTGGTTTACTAGTACTATTAAGGTTGACCTCATAATATGATGCCTGCAGTAACTTCGGATCCCTTCCTTCTGTTAGTTGATGTTTATTGATTTCTCTTATCAAATATATCATATGTAATATAAAATCTTTCATTGATGAGAATCGGATATTTTCACTTTCATTGATGTAATATGATATGCCCTACTATCTGAAATGTATTCAATTTTTGAGGAAGATTAGTAAGATATTTTAGTGAAAGGAAGAGTGTGACACACCATGTTGACATATTGAGAGCTCCAAAAGCTTAAACTATCAGATAATTAATGAGCCAATAATGTTGTTGACACCATGCTCCCCATTTAAGCAAATCCCACTAATCAAGGAATAATCTATGCTTGTCATATATCACATCCCACCACCAATCAAGGAGTAGGGAGCCCTAGCTCTCTCATGCTTTCTCCATGCCCAACACCCCAAATTAAGGATAGCCATGCAAAAGCCCCACACTGAGAAGAGCCATGCATTATCTACAACTACTTGAACTAAAAAAGGAGCTGACCACCTCCAAACAAAGGGATGATCAACTGCCGCTTTCCAAAGCTCTCCCAAGCTCTCTATTTCTCTTCTACTAGCTCTCAAGCCTCTCTCCCCATATCTCTCTCTCATGTACAATATAATCTCCATATTCAAATACAAATACAAAGATATAAACTATAGTGATGTAGTCTCATTATAGGTGAACCATTCAAAACTTGTGTTATATGTGTGATTTATAGTGATGTAGTCCCATTATAGGTGAACCACTAAAAACTTGTGTTATATGCGTGATCATGTCTTAATCCGTTGATACAAATTCACCCATTAAAAAATGTATATCAACCTTGAGTACCAAAGTCCACATATAGCAGAAAGCCTTCCAGTAAAAGCAAACAAATAAAAACATAATGGCAGTGAAAACTGATAAACCCATCTCAAACCAAAAGAGATCCACACACTGTCTACTTACTGTGTATGGCGTACACTGTCTGCACCACGGTGAGACCCAGAAGTATAGCAGCTGCAATGAGAGAAATGTAACTCCATGGGTTTGCGAAATAGTCACGGTTCAACTTTTCAAGCCACCTGTACCATTTGATCTGGTAATGCATTTTCACTTGAGCGCAGAGTTCATCATAGTAGAACTTGTTGAGGGCGGTGTCGTTGCAGAGCTTGCTGAAGTAGTTGGCACCATCTTCAGCGCTCAACCAGTTATCTATGATCCGTTTCTCACAAAGAATCTCCATGTCCTTGCTGGAAGCGACGAGTTTATTCATCAAAAAGGCATAAGATGTTATTTCATGCGAATGGTGATGGTAGCATTGCTCAAAGGCAATGAGGTTCCTGAACAATGGATCTGTCAGCTCCCCAATTGGTAGGTGTGGAATTTTAAAAGTACTCCTTTTGTATCCAAAATAACGAAATACCCCCTTTTCGAATTCGATATTCATTATGCTGCCAGCATCGGAAACGCTTTGAAATTTAACGCCTGCCTGCGCTAGAGCAATTGCAGGAGGAAACTCCGAGTCCATTTCTGTATTATTGCTCTTTCTTCTTGGTATACAAAAAGTTTTCTTCTTTTCTTTTTTTTCTTTTCTGTGCTCATGGAATGGAAAAACTATAACTAACAAAGTTAAAAAAGAAAAAAAAGAAAAGAATATTTAATGAATTTTGAAAGTATCATGACCCACATTAATTGTAGGTGTGCTTGAATCATGGGATAAGCTTTTGCATTTCAAGGAAGCTGTATTTACATACAATTAAGTCACAGGAAGACTTGAAAGCTGCAATCAAACACCTTATTCGGTTGGAAGTGGGATTCGAGGACTAGTGATATAGGATATATCTTAGGATTGTATGAGTTTTTGGAATTTGTTACATTGGTTTTTTTTTTTTGGTGAACAAAAGTTTAGGGGGAGATTGGCTACTCTCACCATCACTGCCAAAGCAGACCCACAACCTCGAACCGGAAGGACTTACGCGTGGCACCCAAATTACATTGGTCTTTTACTAAGGATAATATATATTATTTTTCAGACAATAATTTCTCATTGGAAATATTTTTTATACTTCTTTTACAAAATATTTGTACATTCCGACAGCTCTTAACTCTTGATAATCACTATCAATGTAGTCGGAAACATATTTTTTTTACTTTGTACACGACCTCTCATATATCAATAAAAAAAGAGTTTGAATAAAACACGTATAATTAAAATACACTTTGAATATAGAACCCACAAAATATTTTGACTATTCCTCTATGAGGATTTTTTTTTCTTCTGTTCTTTGACACTTGCTTGTTAAGGTATGACCTCACAACAAAGCCAAAAAAAAATACAAAAATCATTATTGTTTCTGATAAACTGATAACTCCAACAAATAGGCTGACTAATCTGCATTTTTAATCTCATATTTTTGTTTTGTTGGGTACTTAATCTTATCTTTAACAAGTGCCGATGTACATGACAGTCTTGCCCAACAGGGCATAGATGATCAGCGATCGCCCTGCACGTCATTGGCATGCCATGGGCACGTCATGGCATGTTAATTAAAAAGGGTTCTTCGCCATGGGCACGTCATTATTTAACTAGGGTCCTCGAGTTTAATAATCATTTTCACATGTTCTGGAAATTGAACTAAAAATCATATGAACATGTGTGTATAGAATATGATGTTAGATAGCGTACATATCGAAAGAAATTGAAGACAGTCCTTTCTACAGTGACATATATTATTAATAAGGATTAACATCAAAAGACTCGCTGAAGGTTTAGGGTCATTCTCAATATGGGCTCTTGAGTTTCAATTTCATCAATTAACACCCTATGGTTTTCAAATTTGACCAATATAAGCCTTCCGTTAAGTTGACCGTTTGGTCAGATGTTAACTGATCACGTGTCAATTGTGGGTCCTACAGTGGACAAGTCATCAGTTAACGTCTGACCAAACGGTCAACTTAACTGAAAGCTTAAATTGGTCAGATTTGAAATCATGGGGTGTAAATTGATGAAATTGAAACTTGGGGGTCCATATTGAGAATGACCCCAAACCTTCAGAGAGTCTTTTGATGTTAATACTATTAATAACCTCAATTCATACACCACCGACGTCATCGTTTGCGATATTGCCAACGTCAATTAGCATTAGTTGGGGAGAAAATAATATGCTAATGATATCCACAGAGAAATAGCAAATTCTTGTATTAGTTTGAAAGCAACAATATCTTTCGCTACGTATGCTAATGACATATCATATATTCCTTTTTATTCAAGCATGTTCAATTTTCAAAGCGAGAAACATAATTAAGAAGACTTCTAAGCGATGTGAATTAAAAAACCATAATTCAGAAGATCTTCCTAATAACATACATGGATGTTTTGTATTCTTCTGTCCAAGAATCAGTACAGGAATAATTTTTATTTTATTTTTCTGGTTTGTTTTATTGAGTAATTAGCAATACTTTAGAGCTTTTGTTAAAGACTTCAACTTTCACAAAAGACTTTGTCTTGTGAGTCATTTTTTAAGAGAAGCGTTAACTAATGGATGTACATACTACATACCAGGATGGAAGAAATCATCTTCCCCCAGGACAACAACAAAGATTCAAGGCTAGAGTCAGCAAGATCGTTGCTCTGATACCATGTCAAATTCTGAAAAATATAGATAGAACAAGTGGAAAATATAGAGAGAATGAGAACAACACAAAACATTTTCTGATTTCTTCAACTTGGTTCTTTTATATTACTTACAACACATTTATAACTACAAACTATGGAAACAAGGCTTCCATGAAACAAGGTCTCCATGAGACAAGGAAAGAAAGTCCTCCATAAAACAAGGTTTTGCGTCTTACTAGAAGACAACTAATAGAAGACAAGGTTGACCTAACTAACACCTAATATAGCTGCTATAGCTGCTAACAGTTTGCGGTTTGCCTGAGAAATTGCGGTTCACGTACCGCATCCACCCCTAGAATTGACCTAAGTTAGGTCAATTCTCAATCTTTATGCGTGCATACTGTATGGTGCTGGATAAGATTGGTTAGTCTTTATTTGATACCAAGGCCATAAGATTCTAAAGTGGTACATAATAAATTAATGGGAAACATGAGTGACCATGGAAAATTTTCAGAAGCATAACATTACTGAAAGAAGAACACAATAACATTGCAGTAGTTGAAACAGAAACAAACATCGGTGGGCATCACAATCACATTACCAACATAATATTGTTGCCCATTATTTTATCAAATAAAGACACGAACTAAAATGCGAAAAAGACATGCATTCCTTAACCCTCTGGAACCTCGATCGTAGTTGCGTGGCGCATTATGAATTATTAGGTGATCAAAGGCGCCTTCTTCTTGTCATGGCAGCACTTATAGCTGAAGAATGCCTCCATGACATTGCCACACTCGTAGCATACCATAGCCTCTAGGGTGCTTCCAGTTGCACCTGGGATGCTAAAGCAGCTGCAGACGTGACCAGTTTCTTTAACCGCCGTCCCATGCTGTTGATTAAAAACTTGTCCAAAGTTTTCTATTGTTAGTGTTTCTTGCTGATTCCACGTGTGGTATTGGTCGAGAACAGTATACATTGTCGAACCAGCACCAATGGCCACAAGCTTACGGCCTTGGATGAGCACAGCCCATCCACTCTTGTCATCTTTGTAGGAAAGAAGCTTCTGAACTTGTTTTACCACGTCGTCAATCTGCTTACTGATAACCTTGATATGGAACATGGTTTCTATGGCGGACCAGAAGGTGCTAAAGCGGTCATCCCCTCCATCATTATTTGCGTTCTTCTCCACAAGATATAACTCAATAGAAATCTTTGATTCTTTTATGATTTCATCATTTATAAGGGCAGTTGCTTTCTCCTTGAACTGATTCGTCCACACTGAATCCCCTCCATAGAAGAAAATGTAATCGTCTTTCATCTGTTGGAAATAAAATGTATATATATATAGAGTAAGTTTCCAACGGCGCGATGTTTGCATTTAAGAAAAGTGATCACTTTAAATCCTAATTTGTCATGAGAACATATTATCGTCATCCTGCAATTGAATCCTAATTTTTTAAGGTTCTTTAAAATCATCCACGGAAAAAAAAAAAAAAAAAAGAAGGGACCAAATCAGAAGTTATTTAGTCATTTGCTTACCCTTATTGTCTTTCGATTTTTATTTGATACGCAGTGTTTGCCTATAGACTTTAGAACACAACAAATTTCTTATATCTATTTGATTTTATTTTTTTGTGTGCATGCATTACTTGTATGTGCAATTAGCATGGACAACGTAAATTATAAAATGAACATCCATCAATTTGTTAGCAAGAACTCACCCATTTGAATAACTTAGTGTTAATGCCATCTATTAACGCGGAAAACCATGTATCTTGGAGAGAAAGTAAGAGCTGTTTTTCTTTTTCCTGTGTGAAAGGAAAGGCTTGGCATCCCCATATCCAAATCATGCGCAGAGCGTTGTAATGTTGGAGCTGACTCTTTGTGTTCAACACAACCAGCATAGGCTTACCATTGAAGTTCCAATCCTCCTTGATGTACTTGATGCCTGCAATGTGGGCACCAGCCTTGCCTACTGTGTACCATGGCATCTTAGCCTGCAGGGTCTCAAACTTGTGTTGCAGATCTTTAGTCCACTTCTCCACTATAGGAATCCAAACAATCTTATACTCATTATTATCCTTCGTAAAATCATATATGGGTCTGAGACGAGCAATATAATCCTCAGATATCTCTAGGCTCGAAATGAACAACAACACATTCTTCGTCCTTAGATTGTCGATGTCAACCTGTTAGAAATTAACATTATGCACGCAATTATAAAATCAACTGCATGACACAAATTTGTATTTTTATTCATTTAAAATTCAAAAGAGATTAATGTGCTATGATGAGAGAGCAAACCAGTTTCTTAGTGGAACCATCGAAAATGGTTGTCTCCGCATTATGCTTGAAAAAGATTAGGATCTTCATAACCTCCATAATCTCAGTAGGAATTTGGAAGAGTTGTTTGAGCTTCATGTAGGTCTGTAACTTCTCTGTATTAAATAATACAAAAAAGGAATGTCAGCATTGTATTGCAAGAGCAACGTATGCATTTCCTTGTGAATGCTCATCAAGTAAACCCACCTATTTCCTCTTTGCAGATCTTAAGCTGTTGCTTAAGTTTATTGAGGATGATTGTGATCTTCTGAGCATACTGGACAAGGTCGTGTGAGTTCCCCCTGATATGAATGAATTAAAACAGTTATACTACGTACAAATCAGTTCTTGGTAAATGATATTTGGGCATTGTTCGATTGTCAATCTAAACAATTGATTAATTCATCGTACGTGATGTATAAGTGTGGAGAAGATGTGGATGAAACTTACTCATCACTAGTAAGGAGGGTGATGTTAGTGGCGCAAGCTACAGTTGTAATGATACACCAAAAGACATTCACCGAGATATCTTTCCTTGCATTTGCCAAAGTTTCTCTCAACTCCTTTGCATCATTATAAGTGATGGAAAGCTTCTCCAATTGAAAGATGCAATCAATCACTTGCAACGTGGACATGATCACATTGCTGAGATCAGTGACAGCTCTGCCGCGTTGCTTGAAGTTTTCGGGCTTCAGAAGGATTGGCACTCCCTTAAGGAATGCCACAGACTTGGCAAGTTGCTCAGATTGTTGATGCTGGGCACTCAGCCAGAACTCTCCATATTCCAAAGAAAAAGCCGCCAGGGACAACACAGCCTTCGCTTCCCATGAATACTTTGACACCATCCTAAGTATTTTCAGCGTGGCATCGTGGGCATTCTTTTCCCCTGGAGCCTTACATGGCACCTGAAATAATTGCACATTTAATTACTATGATGAGTTATATATGTACTAACATGAATATGACTAATATTATCTACAAACATATACTAATTAATCGTGTATCTCAATTTCATTCATTCTTGCGTTTGGTTTTGTGACATTTGTTTTCTCTCCATAGCCTTTTCATTGTTAGAATGAATAATGTTACCCAAATTCGAGTCCCTACTGATGCAAATAAATTAGAAGGCAATGAAATTACCTCTCGAACTATGGACTTTAAAACGCACAAGGGCGTGCTGAAGCTGGGTGCAATAGTTATTCCACCCATATTTTCAGCGTATACTTGGGGGACCTGCAAAACAAGTCACAAGCAATAAATTACAAGTGTTTTAATACTCAAAAAACTCAGCTCAACGGTGTAGTATATAATAGTACCATACATACCTTCTGGTCGATACTATCGACGATCTGCTTTGAACACTTAATGATGCTTTGAGTGATGGAGAAAAGAGAATGAACGTCAAAGGAATCGTGGTCATGACTAACTTCATGAGTGGCATAAATGTCTTCCAAAATTTCTGCGTCACTCATGGCAAATAGGCTCTTCTTAGAGGCCTCCATGTTTTCAATACTTGTAGTAGTAGTAGTAGTACTGACTACTTGAAAGACTGATTTGGAGACCGAGCCCATGGTGATGGCTTGCTTGGAATGGAAACTCTAGATTTTGGGGTTCAAGTCAGAACACAGAATAACTAGGATGGCTTGTCTTTGCAGTGAGTTCGGTGTGCCTGCCTACAGCCCTATTTATAGCCTTATAAGCTTCTTCACCTTGGACACTAACTAGGGCAGTACCGTATAAGAAGGATCCACCTCAGTATTATACTCCCAATTTGCCATATGCTATGTTTCACTTTCACATTGGATCCAACTTCTTTTTATGCGTGTGTATTAATGCTTTCCAACCCTTCGCTTGGATGAAGGAATTAAAAATTACATAGAATTCTAAAATGAAGGAATTTAGATCTCCATCGTTTAAATTTCGGGCAATTAATAATTTTAGTGTTTGGATTTATGTATGTTGAATTTTGTAAAATTACAGAAATTATAGGGAAAAACAAATTTTTGCTCAATAGAAATTGTGAAATGACGCTTCTTGTGGTGGAAATTAAACTCGGAAATCTCAACCCCCAATTCTCACTATTTTTTCCGCGCATCATTTAATAAGTTTCATGCTTAAGTTGAAAAACAATGCAAATATCAATTTCTCCTCTTCAATTCCCAATTTTTAACTAAATCCTCTCGTTTGAAGAAAAAAAAAATTGTGTTTCCCACTAATTATTATTATTTTCTCCAATGAAGCATCCCTCGTTACCACATAGTTTATCCAAAGTCGTGTTTAAGTCTTTCATCAACCCACTAATTATTATTGTATGTACCGAAAGAAATTGTGGATTCAAAATAAAACATTTTATTCTTTTTTGTGCAGATCCAATCGAAGATCGTCAAATATATACTTCGACTTGTATTATATACACTCAACTCCACGACTTTGCGCACCAGTGACAGAGTCGTTCAACGTCATCGATTTTGTTACTGCCCTACGTCACTATTTGTTTGAACAAAAGAGATCATGTGACGTGCATGGTTGGTACGAGGACTCCAGAGTTGCGTTTTTTATGGGCATATTTACTTATCAAGAATGGCAAAAGTCATGAATTGGTAAAAATTATGATGTGTTTATGTAATGTCGAAATATCATGAATTTGTGAAAACACGAAAAATCTTAGGGGCTATGAGTGTAAATAACTCCTAAAATATTTGAGAAATTTCTGAATGATTCATTCCACCCCATAAGAAGGTATATATAATGTCTTTTTTGGTAACAAAAAGTTTAGGGGAGGGAGAGGCTACCCCCACATCCAAGGTCAGGGCAAATCAAAGACCTTTTCGGATTTACGGATTACCCACCAATACGAAATTGCTGACAGCGGGACTCGAACATTGGTGAGGGGACACACAGTATAGGGACCATACCAACTGAACTAACTCGTGTTGGCAAGGTATATACAATGTTACATATGTGTGTAGAGTAAGAAAACTAATAAAACCTAATCAAAATGTGTTAAAAAAATTTAGAAAGAATAGTTTTGTAATTATTTATTGTCCAAGTTCTCTAACAAAGTCTCTTTTTATTCTTTTTCTAAATGAAGTCTTTGATGATAAGAACACAAGTTAAATATCCAAGATTGAACTGCAACAGGATTGAGACTAGAAAGGCCAACCAACAGGACTAGGGAAGCTTCTCTCCTTAAACAAAGACTTTGTTTTTCTTTTTTTCTTTCTGATAGTTTAAAAGAATAATGACGAGTTTAAAAAATGACCAGTACTTGTCTGCAAATAAAAAATGACCAGACAGAGTCTTCTGGGAAAAAGTTGGAGTCTTTAACGAAAGTTCTAAAGTATTGATTATTAAATTTTCTCAATAAAAGAAACCAAAAAACTAAAATAAAAATACTCCTGTTTTGATTCTTCAACATATCCACGTTAGCATTTTAACATGTTCCCATGTTATGATTATTTTCTCCAATTAAGCATTCCAACTAATCATAATCTTATCCGAAGTCGTACGTATACCTTCGTAGTCTTGTTAATTATTATGCTTTAATAGTAAATATATGACATATCTTTAGCCTACTTGCCGAAACAAATTGTGGCTTCCTCAACTAACACAATTTATTCTTTTTCTGTGCAGATCCGAACAAAAGATCGTAAAATATATTCCTACTTGTATATACAAAGTCGTCATCGACTTCGTTATGCCCTACGTCACTACTTGTTTTTTCAATCAATATCTAGAAAAGCATAATTTTCAAATTTTGTTTAGACTTGAACGTTTTTCACAGGCGACTTTTTCAAATATGTTTTTTTTTTAGAGTGCTGCTATTTCCACCCCCTTGTCTTATTTTTCCATCCACCTTATCTTTTCACCCACCATATAAATTTGAAAAAACACAATACTATTTTCTCACCCACCATTATCACTAAAATACCCTTTAACTTAATTCAAACAATTATAAAAAATCAAAAATCAAAAATCAAAATGAACCATCAACCACCGCCCACCACCCCTCCCTCTTCCTCTTTGTTTATCTTTTTTTCTTTCTTTCTCTCTCTCTCTCTAGAAAACAAGGAATATATAAGTTGATTGTGGATCAACCCATAAGTTGACTGGGGTTCAGTTGGACCTGCGATCCATATCCTACCGGTGTTGACCAGGAAGGTAGTGTTGGGTTTGTGATGGCTGGTGGTTTCTGTACAATCTTTTTATTTTTTAGATTTTTTTATTCTTTTAATTTTGAGGAAGATGGAGACCACCCATATAAAAAGATTGAAGGATTGAGATTAAGATTACGTTGTTGATGTTAAGGAAGAAAAGGGCAAATTTTGAAAACGAACAACAGATGTTAAATAAGATTGTTCTTTGTACATGAAAGAGAGATGGAGGAAGGAATTTTTTTTCCCCTTTTTTAAAAAACTAATATATTGTGTTGTGAAAGAAAATTAATTAACTTTATATGAATTTTTAAATATGTTTTTTTCAAGTCCTTTGAAGTAATTTTATAAAAGGATAAATTTATCTTTTAAATTTTGAAAATAAGGTGGATGAGAAAATAGGACAGGTAGGTGGATATCAATATAACACTTCAATTGACGTTGGCAATAACGGAAACGATGACGTCGGTGGTGTATTCATAGAGGTCATTAACACATATAAGCAGTGCTCATATCATACCGCTTCTTGACTTGTGCAGTGCAGCATCTGCTAAGCTTGAGAACCCTTAATTATTAATTAAAGACTTCACACATATGCACAAATAAAATTGTTAAAGTTGAAGCCAACAACCCAATAATACACTCCAATTTCTTTCCATCTGTACGTTAATCTAACATCACATTCTGTCAACCTTGAGAACCCTTAATTATTAATTAAAGACTTCAAGGGCGACTTTTGATGAACTATGCCTGGTGGGCCAGACTTGCCAGTGGCAATATTTGACTGTAATGTGATTGATTATGATTCACATCGGCACTTGCTAAGGATTAAGTAGTAGTGTAGATTAGTCAGACTTCCCACTAGTTATCAGTTTATAATTTTGTATGATATCAAACTTTTTATTTTATTTTTATACAGAAAAACGACCATTATATTAACGGGTCATGCTAGGGAGATCAACTTTTATACAATCTCTCTAATAGAGGTGGAGCCCACCAATATAATGGGTTCCACGCTCTATTAGAGAGATAGTATACAAGTTGGTATGTAAAGTTGGTCTCCCTAGCATTTTCCTATATTAACACATTATGTACAAAGATCATCAACCACTGTGATAAATACTCATAAATGGGTAATACAAATGTCCACAAAGGGGTAATACAAAGATCATCAACCACAGTTATAAATACGTATAAATGTGTAATATAAATGTCCACAAAGGGGTAATACAAATACCCACAAAGGGGTGATATAAATATGAAAGTATAGAAACCACACAGGGTTTATCAAGATTTAGGCCACAAAAAGCTAGATAAATTTCGACATAAAAGCCGCATGCCAGAACAAACCATCATGAATCGCATGGCCCAAATCTACCAATACAACTACAACTTTTAAACTCTCACAAGTATAAAATACGAGTAGAGACTAGGAAACAATCAAACACCCAACTCAAAAGGAGATACAATTATTACAAAATAAGAAAACTGAAAACAAACAACAACCAAAAACCAATGGAGCCACCACCACACTTGCACTCAAATTATCAACAACAATATAAACAAGAACTTGATTAGAACCAAGGATGACATCATCCACATAAAGCAATAATATTTCCACATAATTTCTAGATTTCTTCAGAAAAAGACTAGGGTGAGATTGGGATGCTTTAAAATCAAGAGGAGATATCCAGTAAATTTGGCATTCCA